ATTATATGGACCGTTTATTTTGAAAGTGGTGTAAGTCCATTTTCTCTTATTTCGAGAAAATTAAAGCTTAACATGTCTGTTAATTAAAAAATTTAGGTAAATTATATCAAGTCTGGCAATATTTCCACTGTTTTATCAATATAAGTATAATTTGGTTAAATAAATTTGTTTTAGGGCCGGTTTATCAATGTCGAGTTAAATCTGTTAGATACACAACTCATGGATAAACTTGCCTAACAGATAACCTCAGTGAACCGTTTATCCAGCAACTTTCTACCCGATAGGCAGCAACCTACGAGATAGAACATAGATGGTACCCCTGAGTGTTAACATTAGAAACGGAAATTAAACGTAATAGGTGAAATTTGAATAATTGACTTTAGTTTGTGAAGTTGATATAAACAGCTGATCATGTTTTGGAGGTTATCATTCCCGTGTGCTTTCGGTATTGTGCTTTGTTTTCGAAAACCTCTTTTATAATGGAATTCCTATATGAATATTTATTAGACAGCGATAAAGATGAGGATATTGTCCAATTCTTAAATTATAAACGACGACCATAGATTATAAAAGAAAGACAAAAGTCAAAACCACTTTGAGGAGTTGGACAAACACGTTTTTTTGTTAAATTTCGGTTAAAAAAGGACACAGTTTTGTCAATGTTAGTTAAAATTAAGACGATTATATTATTTTTTTTTTTTTAAATTACTAGATTATTATTTATTTTCTATAACATTTTTATATTCGTTTGCCAAATCCATAAGCAAGTTCTTTTCTGCTGTACTAAAATTTGATGATCTTTTCTTTCTCTTGCTTATCCATTGCCACATTTATTTTTGACGTTATATTTTGATTTTATTGTCATTTCCTTTCACCAAGCAATCAAACTTGTGCTCACATTTTTTTGACAATATCTAATAGGTAAACCCTTAACCAGTACTTCAATCTGGTGGGTATCCAAATGTCATTTATCTATAAAATTACCCTAAACTACGTGTGGATAAACGATTCGTCGACGTTATCTATCAGCTACAATTTTAATTAACAGATAAATCGTCTTAACTAGATATTGATAAACCGGCCCTTAGCTATATTTTACTAAACTGATGTATACCCACGGGCTGCAAATGGACTTACACCACTTTCAAAATTAGACAATTGTAAAAATCGTTTAATTTCAAATTTGAAAAATCAAATATCACTTAAAATATACTTCATATTGATCCAATTTTGTTTACAAATAATGACATGACATAAAATAGAAGTAGTATTTTTAATTTTAGACGCTAATTACATTGTTAAAAATACAAGATATTGATAGTATTTACTTATGCTCTGCATGTGGCAGTGTTTCGAAATATGCATGATGCACCGGTGGTCTATAAGGTAATAACTGCTTGATGTCTTTATATTTCAAAGGCAATTTTTTCAAATTTTAGCGGTCTTCCAGGACGTGTAGGTAATAAATTTATAGTTTTAAATTCTTTGTCCTTCATTGATGGTTTATATAAAATAGTGTATGAAGCACTTTTGAGAAACCTTATCCAACATATTTGCAACCAATTTACCTGTTCTCAATTAGTGTTTTTTTTTATGTTTTTTAATCGCATTTTTAAGATTTTGTATTGAAACGAAATTCTCTCGTTTCATTTAATGTAAAATGAATTTATCATGTTTTCTACATTGTGTTATTACATCATAATAATCCTGTGGTGTGTAAATAAAATTCTTTTTTCGCAATGCCATTTCTATGATGCCAAAATCTGCATCGTTCGGAAGGTATGAATGCCCCGAGAGTAAAAATTTGTGTTCAATTATGTCAATGTTATTTTCCAACGACTGGACAACCTTCAACCATATCAATGTCATTTGTAAATTTCGATTTTGCCCAGTACACATGTCACTGTAGGCAATAACATGGCATTGGGTCGTTACATTTTCTAAGTGCTTCAAACAGCAAGAAGCTACTTCTTGCGATCCCCTGGAAGCAATAGTTTCATCCCACACATACATATTAACTTTATTGTCGTGGAAACTGTGAAAACCCTCGTTTAAAACATACATATTTCGCTTATAATATGCGATTGAGACCGATAATTTCGGATAAGGTAAGGCTTTTTGTAAGTCAAAAGAGATGGCAAAGTATTTATCAGGATTTTTTGATGCCACAATTTTATCTTCTTGTAATGCTTTTCTTGCTAATTCAGCATCTTGCAAGTGAACATCATGTCTTTGTACAAGAATTGCTTTTTCTTCGTCATCAGTTGTTGTCTTAATTTCCATGTTTAAGAAATCGCATTTCGCACACGTATCTTTACGTGGCTAATGGAAGTGTACCTTCAAATCTCGTTTAAAGATTTTCCTGTATGTCCATTCATTAACTGAACTCAAGTTATTTTCCTTGCATTTTTCTGAGTATATACATTTTTTTAAGTACATACAAGTTTTATACATTTTTCTTATGTTTAATTCAGGATTTAAAAACATCCGTTCTGGATTTTGAGATCGAGTATAGTGACTTTCAAATGCCGGAAAGCTTTTTATGTGTTCTATCACCGTATTTGTCACTAACTCACTAGTTCTTCTGCAAGAGCCATCCATTTTTCCACGCGTCTTTCGGAATATTCTCATGCGCTTTTAGGATACGATCAATTCGTCCAGTAGATATTTGGAAAGTATCAATGAAAAATTTCTTACATACTAAAATGTTTTCACCAGAAGTGACCAGGTAAAATTTATAAGCATATGCCCTCATAGTGCCCGAATTATTTCTAGGCCTTCTTCTATTGACAGTTTCACGTTGAACATTACAATAGAGAAATACATTTTTTTATTTTTACTTATTTATTTATTTAATAAATAAATAATTTTGCTTATTTGTTGCATATATTTTCCTTCATTTTGTTCTGCAGAATCTAAGTTCTCAGTAACAATATCCTCATCTGATGAAGATTCTACCTCTATTATTCTTCTTCTCTTTTTAAGATTCGTTAATTTGTTGTTCATAGCGGAATTACCTTCATCCTCTGAATTTAAGTTTATTCTTCTATTTATATTCATGGGCTTTATTTCTGAGTGAATTTATTTAAAATTAAATAAAATAGATATTTTTAATTGTCATAAAATAATATTGATTTACCATTTGTTCTTACCTATATCACTATCTGATGTTAATCTGAAGTTATCCATTTTAGGAAAAAAATACAATAAGTAACCTAAACTACTAACTCTTGACACGTAATATGACACATTAACAGGCTACTGATCGACAACCATCAACTAAGCCACTTACCTCTGTCAATTGGACTTACACCACTTTCATAATCGATGATTATGATACTTCATTTACCGACCAATTTTAAATTGTACAAAACAGGGACATTTTTTAAGAAATTAAACACGGACTAGTTATACACAAAAATTTACATTAAATTAAGCATGAATTACGTAATATCTCATTTTTTTCAAAAATGGACTTACACCATTTTCAAAATAAGCAGTTGATTCTGATAAGAAAAATTAATTTTTATTTTAAACTACGTCCTTGATTCAGTAAATGAAAAGATAATGGTTAAGATAACAGAAAGGAAACTGTTATAAAAGACCGAGATAAAAATGAACTAAATGAAGTATATAATGGTAATGGTAAAACAAATTTTACCTTCAATTTTGTATTAATTTTTATGTTATAATTTCATTTACCTTTGTATCTTGGTTGCAAGTTGGACAGGTGATGACAGTTTCTGCAGATCCCGCATCCCCACTTTCGCCGATCAACTTCTTGTCGAGGCAGTGTTCGCAAAACACGTGCAAACAAGACAAAACACGAGGCAACAACAATTTATCACTATAAAAAAAATACAAAATCACTTTAATAACATATAATTTTTTAATATAGTAAAACCTTGATATAACGGATTAATATGGGGAAGCGAGTCTCCGTTAAATTATTAATTTGCACTTTAAACTGTTTGAATGAATAATTTTTATGCACACACATTCGAAGCTATCCACACCGTTGCCTTCTTTATTAGTTAATTCTACTTTTAGTTCAATAAGAATACAAAACAATCTAATGCTGAATAATAACTAACTACTGGTACTGGCCAGATTTACTCAGCACTACTATCTGTGCAAAAAGTCAAGGTCCCTCAATTTAGAGATCGATATCTTCGTAACCACTCTATGGAAAAAATTGCGGTAAAGTTTATTGTAATCAGTGAATATTTCTGCGTATCACATGTTAATTTAGAAATTTTCGGGTCCGCGGTTTTTCTTTTATCGCGAGTTAAGTGAACAAAGTACGCGATTCTTGAGAGACGAAAAAATTTCAAATTTGAACTGGTGGTAAACCGACGTGTTCTTAATGTGGGGCATATTTTATTTTTTCGATATTCCATATAGTTTCGCGGAAAATCGCGATTTAGTAGGATGCGGTTATCTCGAAAACGACCTGGCTGATTTCAACGCGATTTTTATCAAAATATGTCAAATAATGTCGGTTGTCGGATTCCGTTATCAGTTTTTCAAAATTAGGGCTTCCTAATTTTTTAAGAGCGATTTAATGAAATTACAAATTAAAGAAAAACAGAAATAAGCTATGCGGGGAGAGAAGGATTCCGTCCAATCGGAACAGTTGGTGCGTCCCAGACAGTACGTCGCGCCTTTATCTTACCTACATAAAGAAATAAGGCGCGACGTCCTGTCTGGGACGCACCATCTGTTCCGATTAGACGGGACCCCTGTCACCCCGCAGAGCTTATTTCTGTTTCTCTTTAATTTGTAATTCCATTAGATCGCTTTTTTGAAAAACTGATAACGGAATCCGACAACCGACATATTTTGGTCAAATCCTCGAGGAAATCCACCCAGCCGTTTTCGACATAACGGCGTCTTACTAACCCACGATTTTCCGCGAAACGGTATGGAATATCGAAAAAATAAAATATGCCACTCATTAAGAACAGGCTACCACTTGTTCAAAATTCAATTTTTTTCGTACGCTAATTTTCGAGAAAAAAAAGTCGCAAAGTTGACAAAGTACTTTTTTCACTTAACTCGCGATAAAAAGAAATCCGTGCATCCAAAAATTGAACCAAAATTATATGAAAAAAAAACTCTCGCATACAAACGAGGAAATACAATGCGATTACAAAACTATTACAAATAATTAATGCTGCTTTTAAACAGAAATACTTCCCAAGCATATGAAAAATGATACCAAAAGCTGGTAAAGCCCCCCACAGATAATTACATCATATAGGATCATATCTCATTATTACCCTTACTATCAGAACTGCTTGAAAAATTACTATTAAAAAGACTAAAACCTGTCATAGAAGAAAAAGTTTTAATACCAATACATCAATTTGGGTTTCGGAATAACGAATACTATTGAAATAGCAATGGAAGAAAATAAAGTTTGCTCCGCCGTATTTCTGGATGTTGCACAAGCTTTTGGCAAAGTCTGGTTAGATGGTTTAAATTACAAACTAGACCAAATACTACCATCAACGTATAGTCAACTATTAAAATCGTATCTTTCTGATCGATATTTTAGAGTAAAATACGAAAACGCTTATTCATCACTACATGAAATACGAGCCAGAATTCCTCATGGAAGTGTGCTTGGGCCAACACTGTATTTACTCTACATATTCGACCTTTCTCAGGTACCAGAAACTTTAACAGCTACAGTCGCAGATGACACAGCGATCTTGGCTGTTGCAGAAAATGAAGTAGTTGCAGCAAATAAGTTACAATTGGCCTTAAATTCAATAGAAAACTGGAGCTTATAAGAAAGTAAACTATGTCCCAGTACACATAAATGGCAATGCAATCCCTTACGCCGACACAGAAAAATATCTTGGTATGACTCTGGATGCCAAACTCATATGGAAAGCTCACATCAAAAAAAAAACGTGAGGAACCTGATATCAAATTTAGACACCTATATTGGCTTATTGGCAGAAAATCAACACTATCACTAAGTAACAAGTTGCTAATATACAAGCAAGTATTAAAACTAAAATGGACATAGGGAATTCAACTATGGGGTTGTACATGCAAGACAAATGCAAGTCTGATTTAAAGATTCCAGAACAAACTACTAAGGTGTATTAGTTAATGCACCCTGCTATACACGTATAGTAACGTGTATGTACCTGTTTATAGTGACTATAACGATTAGAGTAAATCAATTTTAACGAACCATAAGTTCGACCAATCAACTGAGTAATATGTTCCCTTAAAGCTCAACGCCTCAACCATGACCAGTCCGAGGTTTTTGACAGACTTACTCAATGGAATAGGAGTATCTCCTATCGACAGGTGATAAAACCCATTAATAAATTTCTCTTTTAACTTCAGGGGCCCAAACAGAATGATTTGAGTCTTATTAGCGTTTATCTTTAAGCAATATTCCCAAGCACCATCGATAATGCCATACAAGTCACGCTTGAACTTATTGAAGCTTTTATCAAAGTGGCCTTCAGAAAATGACAGAACATCAGCATAATAGTGGATGTTACAGAAATTAACGAAACTATTGGAAATATCGTGTAAATTTTAAATTTATGGCGAAGAATGGGACACTCCAGACCTTATCTTCAAAGCACTCGACTTCACCTGATCAATACTGACTGATTGAATCCTGCCTTTAAGGTAATTTTTGAAAGGAGCTAATGAGACAGAATCAAGCCCGATATGGTGATATTAACAAATCTTGGTTTAGAGTATCGAAAGCTCTGGAGAAATCCAACATCCCCAGAAGAGTCAATCTATTAGAGTCAGTTGCGGTAACAATATCATACACTATATTGGTCAGAGCACTTTCACAGCTATGTCCTTCCCTGAAACCAGACTGATTCACTGGAACAATGCGCTCAGCCTTCAGAAATTGCGTCAATTGTCTGTTAACTATCTTTATACTTTATCCTTATCTCTAATACTTTTGATAAGGAACACAAAATGCTTAAGGGTCATAGGCATGAGTATTCGTTTAGACTTGGTACCTTTGGTACTGGTATCACAATGGACTGTTGTTTCCATATTGAAGGGAAAACACCTTCTAATAGACAAGTATTAATAATATTTGTTATATGGGGTAAGATTACAGGACAAGCTATGTTGAGTAATATAACGTATGTTATAGCGCTGGTTATCACTTCTTCGTAACGAATAACAATTTTCTGCTTTTTGTTGTAACGAATTATTTATTGTTAAAGATACGAGACAACTCTTACAAAAATCTTATTGATAGTGACGCGCTTGTTGTCAGCAACAACGAAAACAAAACAAAAACCTCTTATTACTATGATTCTTGACAAATAGAAATACTAATTTACATACAAATAAAAAAAAAGGAAAAATGTGCATAAAAAAGGTACAAATTACAACAAGCTATTTTTATAAATTGAATAGCAATACCATCAGCACCCACAGCATTTGATCTTATATTATGTAATTCAGTTAAAATATCACTCTCGGACACTAACCTAAATGAGAAAACATCTGGGCCAAACTTTGCCTTACCAAAGTCATTGATCAAATTATCAACCCTACAGTGGCCATAGCATTAAGCTTCCAAGAAGAAATTATTTAGTTCGTCGCCGCTTTTTAAGTGTTGTGGAAGGGAATGAACCTTACATTAGCGTCTTTTACATCAAGAGTTTTTTGGACAATTTTGGAGCGTACAGTCCATAGCGCGCGTACCAAAACTGCCCTTGTAAACATGCCGATCTTAGCCCCGCGCGCGTTCGCGGCTCACGTGGTTGGAACGCAGGTTAGAACCCAAGGTTTATATATTAAAGGTTGTCTAAGTTCCTATGCTGCAATACTTTGATTTTAGTTTGTGGGCGAGGGGCAAGAGCAGGAGTGTTTCGTGACGTAAGCGATCACGGATTGCGCACGCAACCTCATGGCCATGTGGTGCTCCATGCCTTTGTTTAATTTGAATTGCTTGGCGGTATTATTTTCCACATGTGACGTAATGCGCAGTATGATTGCGTACGAACCTAGACAACCTCTTATATATAAACCTTGGTTAGAACCTGCACAGTGTTTATACTTGTTTACTTCACAGAAGAGTTTAGGTTCGAACGCGCCAAGATTTACATTTTGAAGGATCACAAAACTTAACCCTACAGAGAATACGTGATTTAAATGTTACAGCAATACACATAAGTCATAGGCCTGTCAGGCCCAACGTATTCACTGTAGGGTTAAAGATATGTCATGGAATAAAGAGATCTTAGAAATATTTATAGAAAAAAAAATACTAACTGAACGATTATAACACTTTTTTCTTGAGAACATGATAAAGTTTGGAATAATTTATAAAAACAACTATTGTAACTGAAATGTAAATCTTGGCGCGTTCGAACCTAAACTCTTCTGTGAAGTGAACAAGTATAAACGCTGTGCAGGTTCTAACCTGCGTTCCAACCACGTGAGCCGCGAACGCGCGTGATGCACGTCTAAGATCGGCATGTTTACAAAGCAGTTTAGGTACGGGCGCTATGGATTGTACGCTCCAAGACTGTCGAAAAAACTCTTGGTGTAAAAGACGCTATTGTAATAAATTGTTTTCTCGCAACAGTTTCCATGGGTTAACAGAACTCTGTATATGCACGTTTTTCAGACTTAAATATGAAAAAGGTGCGGTATTTACAAGATTTCTTAATTCTTTATAGTAGGTTCAGGTCAGACTGAGTTTTTGTTTTTTTAAATTTTGACAGGGCCTCATCTCTTAAGTTTTGCATCAATCTAACATTGTCAATAAGCCACAGACAGGGATCCTTGGTAGAAGTTACTCTCACACGGGGGGCATATATGTCAATAACTGAGATCAACAAATGATTTAGCAAGTTTACCTTGTCGTCAATGATGATATGCAGAGTGGTTCAGTTCTTAATCGGAAAACGTTACTAGGACGTAGTACTTGCCAAAATAACACAAGTTTTTTATATAAACATAGAGTCGCAACTCTTTTGTTTTCGAGCTATGACCTGTCAAAGTTGAGCCAAAACTGTACATTTTATCTTTTATTTCGGGTATAAGTAAACCGTAGAATTTGAAATTTTGTATGTATGTACTACTGGTTAATACCTAAATACGTATAAAGTTTCGGTTTACTGAAATACAAAACAAAATGTAAATTTTTGGCACAACTTTGATCGCTCATAGCTCTAAAACAAAAGAGTTGCGACCCTATGTTTATATACAGTGTGTCCCAGGATAGATGTTACCAAGAGGTATAATGACTAAAAAATTTTTGAAATTTATTTTAAGGCTAAGGAATTAAGCCCTGCTTGGTGTGAGGAGAATTTTAAGATTATCATATTTTAAAAACAAAGGCGGCCTTGACAATGAATCGAAAACTACTTTTAGTTTAGGTAAGTAATCTTTTTGTTCATGGTACGGAAAAATTTTATTAAGAAAAGTTGTTCAAAATGAGAAATTATGATCCTATACAAAATTTCAATCTACTTTGGTTGAACCATCACATTTTAGTTTAAATAACATAAATATTGTAAAGTAATTGAAATGTGAACTAAAACTGAGGGATAATACAATTTATTTGTCAATATTTGCGCCTACTTAAGTCATTTTTTTTTCTCCACTCTGACGTAATCTAAAATATGGTGGTTTAATCATTGTAGGTAGATCTTTCTGAAATTTTGCATAGTGCCATGAATTCTCACTCTGAACAACTTTTTTTAATGATATTTTACCGTATCATGGACAAAAAGCTTATTTTACCTGAACTCAAAATAGTTTTTGCTTCACTATCAAGACCGAGTTGATTTTCAAAATATGAAAATATACTTAAAATTCTCTCCACACCAAGCAGGGCTTAATTAATCAGCCTTAAAATAAAATTCAAAATTTTTTAAGTCACTATACCTCTTGTAACATGTATCCTGGGACACACTGTATAAAACTTGTATTATTTTGGCAAGTACTACATCCTAGTAAAGTTTCCCGATTAAAAACTGAACCACCTGTATATCATCAAAAGGCAGTGACTGGATGAAGTTTAAAAAGAGAGCTTGATCAAAATATTTCAAAGACCTAATATACCTAGGCAAAGTCACTGACTCGACTGTTAAAGTTACAGAATATAAATTCATGATCGCTTACATTGTGTACAAGAACAACTTTTGCTTCAGTGATAAGATCACAATGATTACAAAAAATTGTATCAATTAAACTACTTTTAGTGGCTGTGATTCTCGTTAGCTGATCAATAGTTAATACCATTTCAAAACTCCCAATCATTTTTAGAAACCCATCACAGTATACATCCATCAGGTCCAGCAAATCAATATTGAAATCACCACAGAGTACACAAAGATCAAAGAGCATGGATCAGTTCTAGGTCTTGCAACTTTTAATTCAATAATAAAACTAGAACTACCATCCTTGACTTATACATCATATAGAGCAGCGGTCGGGGAACCGGGGTAAATTACCCCAAATGGGGTAAAAATGAAATTTTTGGGGGTAAAAATGAAACTTTTGTGAGTAAAAAGTATATATTTTTAATTTGCTATTTTATAAACCTGTTAGTATTTTTTTCAACTTAAACAATTTAGCGACATATGTAGGCCACGCCATCTCACTCCCCACCACTAAGTGTTCTCGAGTTATACCTTTGCGCAGTAAAGCACAGACCCGCCTACCTGCTCAGTCCATGCCATACCATATATATTCAAGTATTTTACAATTATTATTTTCTGTCTCCTTTAAGATGGCAGCAAATAGAAAAAGAAAATACCAAGACGAATTCCTTAATTACGGTTTTATACAAATAGAAGACAATGGTACAATGAAACCACAGTGTGTTGTATGTATAAAGGGGTACTCACTTTTTAATCTTTCAAAAAAAGTCAATTGAAGAAACATTTAGATAATTTGCATTCACACCTGTCTTCCAAACCGCGAGAATACTTTGCAAATTTAGAAATTTCTGTTAAAAGACAAAAATTGAATAGCAATTTGTTTGGTACATTTGATCAGCGGTCAGCATCAAGGGCTAGCTTTGAAGTAGCCTGGTTGATTGCCCGAAATAAGAAACCATACACTATTGGTGAAGATTTGGTTAAACCAGCTGCTGTAAAAATGGCAGAGATTATGTGTGGTCAAAAAGAAGCGAAGAAACTGAATTCAGTGCCCTTGTCTGCGAGAATTGTGAAAGAACGAATTTCTATATTAGCAGAAAATGTGAAGGAACAGGTTATTTTCGCATTAAAACAAGCTAAATATTTTGCTATTCAGCTTGATGAGACAACTGATTTTAGTAGCAATTCACAGCTAATGGTACATGTTCGCTACAAAGGTGCAGATAATTTTGAAGAGGAATTGCTGTTTTGTTCTCCTCTCGAGTTGAGATCTCGTGGAATTGATGTCTACAATAAAGTAAATGAATACTTTAATGCGCAAAGTTTAAAATGGGAAAACTGTATTTCTGTATCCTTGGATGGAGCTCCAGCTATGCTGGGTCATATTAATGGTTTTTCGGCTTTCGTAAAAAAAAAAATAACCCAAATATTGAAGTTACTCACTGTATGATCCATCGCCAGGCCCTTATGGTCAAATATTTAGAACCTACACTGGAAGCCGTCATGCATGATGTCATCAAGATTGTAAATTTTATCAAGGGACATGCACTAAACACGCGGCTATTTTGTGAATTATGTCAGGACGTTAGGTTGATCAAAAAAATATTCTCGCAGATAAGTTTAAAAACTCTTCCTGGGTTGCATATCTCACATATTTAACGGACATTTTTGAGAGTATAAATATATTAAACAAAGAATTGCAAGGAAAGAATATTAATATCATTTCAGCGAGAGAAATTCTGTCAGCGTTTGGATTAAAGCTGCAATATTGGAGACAGAAAGTAGAACAGAACAAGATAGCTTCTTTTTCAAGGTTAGCTTCGTTTTTGGAAGATTGCGAAAATATTACTTTTGCTGACATCAAGGATACAATTGTAAGACATCTTATCAAACTCAGAAACCGGTTTTCAGATTACTTTCCAGATCTTGATACATGTACTGTCAGTTGGATTGTAGATCCTTTTAAATGTGAAATTGCTATGATACCAGAAGAACCTTCAGGTTTGGCTGAAGCAATTCTTGACCTTCAATCTAATACTGAAGCACATATTCAATTTGAGAGTAAACCAAATCTGTCGTCTTTTTGGATGTCAAAAGCTGCAAAGGCTTTCAAAATTGCACATGAAGAAGCGGTTAAAAAATTGTTGCCATTTGGAACAACATATTTGTGCGAACAAGGTTTTTCCACTCTAATGAACATAAAAACGAAGAACAGAAATCGATTAAGCGCCGAAGACTGTATTCAAATCGCTCTTACATCAAAAAGTCCCAATTTTGAAGCAATTGTATCAAACATGAAACAACATCATTTCTCCAAAACGTGAAAAAAGAATGTTTTCAATTATTCTTTTTTTTCTAATTGTTGTTTGTACCACCACTATTATTATTATAATTTGTTACAGTACCCAAAATTGTCAACCCTCAATTGTACCCCAATGGGTTTCAATTTGTTATATACAGTTGAGGAAAAAAAAATTCGCCCCCACAAAAAATATAAGTAAATGATAATTTCTTGTTATTTTATAATTCATATGATATTTTTCTTGTATTATTAGATGAAAAAACTAACATTGATAAATTGAATAAATGATGTTTAAATTAAATTTTTAGTTATTGTTTTCTTTACAAAATTATCATGGGGGCTATAATATGAAAGATGCTAAAAAGAGGCGATTTCGCTTTTTTTGCTCTTCGCCATGGGTAATATCAACTTACACAAAAATATTTTGGGGTAATGATTAAAAAAGTTCCCCGACCGCTGATATAGAGACAAGTTGGGGAATACCCTGAGTTTATCTATGAACATAGAATAAAGCAGCTTGGGGAATAAGCCAAGTTGGATTTTATCTATGTGTGCTAACATTTATATTTAAATATATTGATGCATTAAATAGATAATATTAATAGTATGAGTTAAAAATATTTTGTCTGTTATATCATGGTTTTACTGTAAATGTATTAATTTTTTAGTTATAAAAGTGGAAGCATACCCGCACATTCCGCAGCTATCAGGATCATCCAATAAACCATCTTCGAGTGGGCTTCCAGCACCCATCTTTGCTCCATCTCCAAACATTGTTCCACTCAAATCACCGAAATCATTTTCTTTAACTACGGCAAGACCAACGGAAATCGCCGAGATCTCCTTCATATCCGGTTCCATAATTCCTTTGATAATTTAAACGATTTTCAACGTTTTTTTTTAAAAGGTTATAATATTGCAGGTAAATTTGTAGGCCTATCTCTGTCGTTTGTTTTAGTTTTAAATAATATCAATCCTGAACGTTATACATCTATATTCAAAAAGAAAATTAACATTAGTAAAGAATATATTATTACCCAAAGGCAAAATGAACTCTCAAATAGGTATCATACCAATTAATGAGTCCTTAATCAAGTAAAAATGAATCAAAAATTGTGTTAAAAATGAAAATAATAAACATTCGACACCTTGACATAACCTATAAACGACAGAATGCACCAAATAAATCAATAATAACGATACGGAACATGCACAACATAAAAAACAGGGGAATCGTTGCGCATAATTAAAGATAGACTCGTATGGGGTAAAAATAGCCGGCACTTACCATCGTAAAATTCGTAAACGACGTAAAATAAACGTAGTAGCGGATTTGTTTAGCAAATGGCGCGAGATAAAGTGCGTCTTCTCTCCTCCTGCCGAAAAAAGGGAACGTTGACGGGAGGGGAGTAACGAGGGGGGTTATTATAAGCGATTATCGGCGCGACACCCGTTTCGTGTATGTGTGGGGTCCTCTATCACAAAATAAAAATCACAGAATCACAAAAAAAACTCGGTAAATAATCACGCAATAAAAATAACGTTTTTTCTTTTTACGATGCGAAAATATTGTATAACTGTAATGTTGTGTAAGCAGCTAGAAGGTAGCCATATTGGATTTTACCACCTTCCGTTCTAAATATAACCTCGAGAAGATGTCAAATTGGCTTAAAATTTAGTCGATAAATGTGATTCCGACGCCGACGCTGCGCGTCTCCAACCAATTTCGCACTTTTCAAATACGATTTTTGGCTCGTTTTAAACGTTTTTGCGCGTTTTTTTAATGAGAAATTTCGCTTACCTGTTCGTGTTACGGAAGACGCTGCACAAACAAACACCGCTAATCTTGATCTTCAATTGTTTCAACGAATTTAGCGTCCTTCTTGGCCAAAGCCAACTTGGATATTTCCGATCAAGTAAATTTTTTTATTTTAATTTCAAATTAAAAATAATTTAAATAGAAATTATTCGTAAAATTTATTGTTAAAACGTTAATTGTTCAATGAAAATGATTTACTTTACTTGTTTGGGTTAAAACTTGAAACGTGAATTTGCAATAAAAAAAAAAAAATGATTGCTGATATTTTTTTTAAGTGCTGATAATTTATTTTGTAATTGAACATGCGTTTATTTATTAACACCTTGCAATAAATTAAATTAAGCAACATTTGCATACTTATTAAAGGATTAAAGTTTTGTGTTTGAAAGATTAATACGAAAAAATAAATAGAGATGGCGCTTTAATGAAATTTTTTTTTTAATTTAATTCTTTTATTAAAAATAATATTAGTAAAACTTAAATATAATTATAATAAGTGAAATTTATTAATATTTTACAATGAAGATTCTTTATAATAATTAAATACTTTAATATGTAATGAACGTATATTGAGTTGCCTATATGAGACTAGTATGCATTAACAATTTTAAGTAAAGATTTATTTTGTATTTTAGTTTGGTATTCTCTGTAATTACTGGCATGTAGATCCAATTAACAGACCAAAGACATGTTTACAAACAATATAACTTAAGTTTTTATAGTGTGGAAGTTTTGACTAATACTGTTCGACACATAGTTTTTAATTGACGGTCTAAATGTACTTGAAAATCGCCAATATCAATCATGGCAAAGAGGATTATGTATCAATCCCTAAAATGTGATGGTCTCTTCGCTTCATCTTTATTTCCAGGATCAATGGCGCTATCAGAAGGTTTGGTATTATCATCTTTCAGACCTTTGCTTGCGCCTTCTTCCACAAGTTTCTCATTATTTTATCATCTCCAATTATGTTAAAAGAGGTTCTGTAAAATAACTAGAAAAACAAGTATAAGAGTATGCATCAAAACGAGATAATGATAATAAACAACTTGAATGAAAAAAGCTGTAAAAAAAACACTCAGATCAGGCATACCTAATAGAGGGTTTAGACCAAAAAGTTATAAAATATAGAATAGAATATTAATTCAATCACCGTTTTTCAAAACGGCTATTTGCATTAAAAAAAGGATCCTTCAAGAAATTAATTTTATAGCGAATTTTGAAAATTATCGATGAAAATTGCAACATCGTAAATTTTATCAAAACTTCAAATATATTGTTTTCTCAAAAACTAAAAGTTATTTCTCAAAACCTGTTGGTTCATTGGAAAGAGGACACTCTTATTAACACTTTGGGAAATTTTCATACTCATATTCCAAAAACTAGATTTTATACGAATTTTTAAAACTCGATCGGCGAAAATTGCAAAATTCGAAAGAATTGTCGATCATTTCAAAAATGTATTTCTCAAAAACTAAAAGCGATTTTTCAAAACGGCTTTTTGCATTAAAAAGAGGATACTTTAATTAATAATTGGTGATACTTCCACAAGGATGGTTCAAGAAATTAATTTTATAGCGAATTTTGAAAATTATCAATGAAAATTGTAACATCGATAATTTCAAAAATTTATTTCTCAAGAACTGAAAGTGATTTTTCAAAACGGCTTTTTGCATTAAAAAGAGGATACTTTAATTAATAATTGGTGATATTTCCACAAGGATCCTTCAAGAAATTAATTTTATAGCAAATTTTGAAAATTATCAATGAAAATTGCAGCATCGCAAATTTGATCAAAACTTCAAATATTGTTTTCTCAAAAACTAAGTTATTTTTCAAAACGGGTTGGTTCATTGGAAAGACGACACTTTTGTTAATACTTTGGGACATTTTTCGTGTTGGGTTTGTTACAATGAGGTTGCTAATGATAAATAAAGTTGTATTCAATGAAAAAATCCTATTGGGGTTGAACGTGATTATTATCTGCAGTGTCCAACACCTAAAAGAGATACTAATTCCTGTGAATAGTGGAGTACTAAGTAAAAGGTTTCTTATATCCGGCCGGATTTTAACGAATGACCGGATAGGCCGGATACCGGATAGTTGCCAGATATCTCTTCCACCACTAGTCTTTACATAAGTCATAAACCAAAGCCTTCAATAAATAAATGCATGGCAAGGTGAGTATCGAATGAGTCCTCAAAGCCCTCCTTACATGATTCTCAGCCATTTAAATCAAGCAATAATCTATTGTTGTTGTAATCTATCCTTTTTATTATCTGTGTGGTATTAATATAAAATACATATCGTCGGCTTAGTAAGAAAACGACGTAACTCCAATTTTTAACAAAAATAAGATTTTGATGTAATTATGCAACAAATTATTAAATCTACCAATTCCGAAAACTACGCGTATATTGGAATACAAGTTTCCACTCAAATGCTTAAAATGAAAAGCATTTAACACGACTGTCAAAAAAAAAACAGTTTTTTCTGTCTCCTGTAAAATTTTCCAAAACGGAGTTACGTGGTTTTCTTTCGAAGCCGACGATATGCGCCCTTACCTATAAGAGTTTCAATTCAGGACGATAAAAACAACAATTTTGAAACAATTATACGAAAAAAAAGAAAAATGCAAAACAAGAACTATACTTGGTTCTGCTGAAACATCTAACTTGAAAGCAGTATAATGTATCAAAACTAGACAAGGACACTTCAGTAGAGGATATCAGAAGAGGGGTTTCATGATATCAAATATTAAACTCTGTTTCAACATCATGACAAATTAAAATCATCAAGCATTTGGCCAATGGGCACTATGATTAATCATTTTATTGGAAGATTTAGAAACCAAATCAGGTTAGGCCTTAGGAGAACGTAGAAATAATAAAAATAACGATCCCCTGGAATGTTCGACCAATGATTTAACTAACATTTTGTGTATTAATATTCAAGGCATCGAGAAAGATTGGAAGTTTGGAAGTTGTACTGCAACAATATCAGATAAAAACTCATATTTATTTATGTATAAGTGGTTAAGAGCATTGGTTGAAAAAAGATTAACTCAATTTGATAACCTCCTCCTTCTTTAAAATTTTCTCTCTGGTTGTATCTTTTAGCAGCATCTTGGTTTGAAAGGTTGCAACATTTATTCACAATACTTTCTCGTTATTTATTTCACTACTTTGAATAATCTAACAATTCTAAGCTGATAAATTTAAAAATCACACTTCTAAACGTTTACAGATCACCTTCCGCTAATTATAATGATTTTATTAACAAATTGGAAGTAACCTTATTTGCTGTGAGGGGTAATCAAACTAGTGTCATGTTATTTGGTGATTTCAATGTAAATTTTATGGAAAGTAGCCATACAATTAAGAAATTGAAAGATTTTATGGAATCTTTTGAGTTAAAACAAGAAGTCTTTTAACCAATTCGCATTGTTTCGCAGTTGTTTATAACGTCCATTCATGAAAATAAATCTACTGTATCAGCCATAAAGCTCATCTGTTATGTGAACAGAGTCATGTGAAATATATCAAAAGCACAAGAGAAAATATAAACATGATGTGAAAAAGGCAAAGCAAATCTACAATGGTAATTATTATTATTATTAATTACAAGTAATTAGCAACAACTTTAGAATAAATTCCAAACACAGCATCAAAACTAACATAGAGCCTGTAGACCTCAATAACTTCTTTACGAATAAACAAGCATTAAAAAATACAGTCAATCAACAAAAGTTTTGAACAAATCCATAAGAAGGGTAGTGCGGATAATCCGAACAATTTTCAACCAATTTCTTGTCAATTATGTCAAAGATATTTGAGTATTTGCTAAAATCATGTGTTTAGTAAAGACCAATATGGTTGAGAGGAAATCCTCCGCAACTAAAGCAATAATCGATCTACTTGAAAAAGTTATGAACTTTTTCAATGAGTCAAAAAAAGTCTCGGTACAGATGCTGGATCTAACAAAGGCAAATTGTTAGATAATTTAAACAATTACGGTATAAAGCGCTCGATGATTTCAATGTTTAAATCTTACTTGACAAACTGAGGATAACTGGTACAAAAACGGTAGTTGCAAGTCGACTATTAAAAAGGTGTGGATTGGTGTAATACATATGAATGTTGGGAACAATTTAAATGCATTCGCAAGTAATTCTAACCACTGTAGCGAATGCTAGAATGTTTGAAACGGAACCGCTCACTCCGTAACGTTTCCCTATCTGATCACTATTTGCCGTTCGCCTATAAAAGTTTTAGAATATGTGAATACATATTTTTATAGTACAAAGCATCACTAAATAGTAGTGGGTATCGCAAAGGTTTTAGTTTTAAACTAATTTCAACTTCACGAAAAAATAACTTGAAAATGCGCTTACTTTAGCTCGTCTAAATGTACTTCCCCCCTTAATCGGTGAAAATTGCAAAATTCGAAAAATTTTCGATCATTTCAAAGATTTATTTCTCAAGATAATCAATAATCGAAAGTGATAACAGCGACAGTTCTGTTAGTAATAAATGTGATGATGAATTACAAGTGAAGAGAAGAAAACTAGATGAAGCTGCAACAAGAGATTTTATATATCGTATTGGGATTGTTACAATGAGGTTGCTTATGACAAACCTGATATAAATAAAGTTGAATTCAATAAAAAAAGTTCTATTGGGGTTGAACTTGATAATTATCTGCAGTGTCCAACGCTTAAAGAGATACTAATTCTTGTGAATTGTGGAGTACTAAGTAATAGGTTTTTAATATCCGGCCGTATTTTAACAAATGACCAGATAGGCCGGATACCGGATAGTCGCCAGATATCTGTTCCACCACTAGTCTTTACATAAGTCATAAATCTTCAGTAAATAAATGCATGGCAAGGTGAGCATCGAATGAGTCTTCAAAGCTTCCTTACATGAT